CACCCCCAAGCCTACGACCGCTGTCACCCCTACCACCACCAAGGCTACGCCTACGCCTACGACCACCAAGCCCAGCGTGTGCGATAAGCCTGTGGACGGCGTGGATTACTACGGCAACGATATCAAGTCCACCCAACGGTCCAACAGCGACGACTGCTGCGACGACTGTGCCAAGACCCCTGGCTGCGTTGTGTACGTGTGGACCCCTTGGAACGACGGCACGTGCTTCTTGAAGTGGAAGGCTGGCAAGTCTGCTCCTTACTGGGGCGCTAAGGCCGCCAAGGTCACCAAGTCTGTTGGTTCGTGCCAAGCTGCCCAAGCCAACGTGGACTACTACGGCAACGACATCGCCCGTATTTCTGCCGACAAGGACGACTGCTGCGCGTTGTGCTTGACAGCTGACAACTGCAAGGGTTACTCGCACTACCAAGGTCATTGCTACCTCAAGGGCGAACTCGGCTACGCTTCTGCCAAGGCAGGCGTTACTTCGGGTGTCCGTAACTAAGCGGGGTCGAATATCTGATGCATATTACACGTTGTGTGTTCAATAAAGTTGGTGTAATTCCCTGTAATGTGTTGAATACGGTATACCACCAGCTAGAAGCGTATTACGAGCGCGATGTTGACGTGAATATCCCAGAACCGTTTGCCAATTACTACGTAGTACACATAAACATAATTATACCTCTAACGTGGCCGAGCCGAGTTTTGTTGTGTGTTTCATTTTCGATTAACAGTAAAGTAAGCAATCCTTGATTTGCTGAAGTACCCAACCGTTGTTCAAGTTACTTTAGACATTATTTAAGCCTGAGAAATTTTTAAGCAATGAATTTAACCCTGGAATTGCCAAAAAAGGTGCAAAGCACAATAGTTTTTACAACTTGAATTTGGTACTTGCATTTTTATACTGCAGTCCTTACAGCCAGTTTCAAGTAAATTCCGAAATGGCCAATTAATACGCTCCCCAACTCACAGTCAACCCAAAATCCCCATTTTAAAATCCCCTTTTCAAAATGGGTTGTATGACCCCACTTCATGGAGGGAGTCATATGGACAAAAAGCCTGTTGAAAAAGTCAAGTAGTGAGAGTCCTTAGGGTGACTTTTTCGGTTGTGGTATGATGCTCGTCACTTATAAACTACCAACTTTTCACAAAATTTTCTGACTTCTATTTCGTATTCATTACTCAAAATTTCAGCAAATTGAGACGTGGAATCGACAGATATGGTGAAGAAATTCTACGTCTCAGATTCAAATTTGGTGATGAATTGGTCCAGAAATAGATATTTAACCTAAGCTTAGTGGTACAGTATTTTACATGGGCGCATGTATCTTGATTTTTGTATGTGGGTCGTATCCGTATACAATATCCGGAGGCAGTTGGGACCTTTAACCTCCCACTGCAGTGATAAAACGCATGCAAAATCGGTATTTAACGTAATTAAATTTTGGGTTTAACTACATTAATTGTACGTTAAATAATAAAACCTCCACTCTTCGATTTGGCCAGTTGGAAGTTTTTTTATGACGTGCATCATAATCATCGGAATAAGGGAATAAGGGTGTAACGTTAGAGAAATCACGAAATACCATTAACTTATCGTCGGCCCTACTTAGTATTACCAACCAAACCACCCATGGCATGTAGCGGACGTAAATCAGGATGTAAAAGTTACTGGTATTAATTACTGCGAGTACGTAGCTACATGGGACTAAACCTCGAACGATTGCTCTAGGCCTCGTGACCTGGAGCAGTCGTGTGAATTGCACTCCATGCTACCAGACTCCCATGGCAACTTTGCCCGCTTGTGGCGTAGGCAGAATGTGTCAGTCTACGGCACAAGCGGCCAAAGTTCCTCGTATATCGTTTTTCGTGCTGCTTCTGTAAGACATCTTCGATAGTCGAGATATATACACTGCCTAGATATAGAATGAACCTTGCTTGCGGTACCAAGGGATGGCTGAATGCTCAAGGAGATCGATCACTTACATACCCGAGAACCCAGTGAGCAGTGTGTGTGAGGTGGCAAATTGAAGAATGATGAAATTGAAATGTGTGGTTGGCCATAAAAAATAAATATTTCTGGAAGATGATAGGCAGGACCATGTTGCCTCGTATTGCTTGACTGATGTACCAACTAGCCTTGCTTTGCAGGTACCTTATTCACAACTAACACAGTGATAACGAGAGGAGCTAATACAGTATACCAGAGGATTAGCCCGTGGTTGTTGCTCGCATCAACGACGAGCAAATCCATTTCTGCTAGTAAAGCAAGACAAGCATCCTAGAGTCCTGAACCATGCCAGGAGTTGAGCTAGCAAATTGACGTAGCCCTGTGATATTCCTTTGTATGCGTTATGTGTGTGCAATGTGACTTTGCGTGAAAGTTAAGAAGTAAACCATACAGCTATGTGTGGAGCTCAACGGCAAGTTATTCGTGTAAACGCTAGCAATTTCAGTCAGAGTGGCGGTGAATTCACACCTGAGTAGTGTAGTAGAGGTTTCAGCCACTGTGTGCGACTTACTCATAGTGCATGTAAATCGCTACTTCTGTATCCATTGCAACCCCTACATCGTTTATAACCCCCCACGGCCAGTCCCCTCCACAACGGTTCAGCTTGTGGTTTTTCTTTATGTGAAAGCACACTACCACCATTTACGACATCATAACTAGCTCATAGTGTATGTAGATCGCCAGAATAGCGGCGACGCAACCCCTGAACACCCACAGCCTTTATGTATCCGTATTGACTTGTAGCATCCCCCCAGCCCAATTGTCTAGCACACTATGTGTGTCTGACAACTCATACTGTGCTCACTCATATCATTCTTGGCTCATAGTGACAAGCATTTATCGTCTGAATTCCAACATCCCACACATCACAGAGCACAAATTTCAACAACTGGCATTGCACGAGATATTGTGTAGTGTAGATCAATTCTCTCAGGATTAGGCGCTATGGGAGGATGGAGTATGCACTTGACAGTGTTCTTTGTATATTCGAGTGAACGTTGAGAACAATAGAGAGTGTGCTACGCAATTTGGCTTGGGGATGCTACAAGTCGAATATTGTGAGAGGAAGGGGGGGGGTACATAAGGGCTGTGGAGGTGCAGGGGTTGCAGTCGCTACTATTCTGCGCGATCTTCATACACTATGAGCTAGTCATGATGTCGTGAATGGTGGTTCTAACTTCGTAAATGGTGGTTGTGTACTTTCACACGTAGATAAGCCACAAACAGAATCGTTTTGGAGGGGACAGAAGGCCATGAGGGGATTTAAACGATGTAGGGGATGCAATCGACTCAGCTGTAGCGATTTACATGCACTATGAGCAAGTCGCCACATTGTGGCTGAAACCTTTACTTTCAGGTGTGGATTCAACGCGACTCTAACCCAAATAGCTAGCACTTGCTACCGGTAGTACATACATAACTACCGGTAGTCGTTGAACCCGTCAACTGGTTATTCACGCCAAATCACATTGCACACGCGTAAACACGCAAGAGAACATCAAACCATACGTCGCATTGTCATCTCAATGCGACTGGTTGCATGGTTGAGGACTCTGGTAGAACTCTTAGCCTTGGTTTACTCTGTAGTGGAGTTGCTCGTCGTTGATGCGAGCAACAACGACGGGCAAATTCACCAGCAGTATCATCTCCACTCGTTTTTACTATGCTAGTTGTCAGTTAAGGTACCCTCAAACAGCCATGGAGAGGCAGCATGGCCACTGCCCAAACTTCTCATGAATATGATTTCAAGGTATAATAGGTTTTGATTGGATACGTACATTTATTTTATAGCCAATCACAGTCTTCAAATAGCTTCATTATGTAATTTGCGGACAAGGGCTGACTGAAAATGGATTTGGACGTGCAGGGTGTCCTTGACGCTCAATGCCTTCCGTTGCAGTCGCAAACGAGGCATGCCAACAGTTATCCTTTCTGCACCATACGGTATAACTACAAGTACAATGTATCATGTATAAACAGCTCCAAATAAGACCCACGCAGGATCACAATTGCAAGGGCACACAACTATGGGAGCTTGTAGAGTAGGCTGACTGTCACAAAAGCGCTGCTGCGGGAGGCTGGTGGCGTGAAGTACACTTACGCATGTTTACTTCGGGCCACCAGGCTCCCGCTGCAACGCCTTGTCTTACCCACGCGCTTGCTGCAGGACCCCAGCCATTCATCGTGTTATTTAGGGTATCTTGAGGGTTCCTCATGTCTACTGTACTTGAGCTTTTCTCTCGCGTATTTCCTCGCCTTTGCGCCTACAACAACGCCTATTTACGTATGCCCACGCTTATTGTCTTGGTGGCTTGTGTTGCGTTGCTTTGAGAGTCTCCTACAGTAGCCTTACCGTTTTCGCCTTCATATTTCCCTGCTACGCCTATCTACTCCTACGCCTACTCCGTCACGTGTTGTGTTGAGTGCTTGTGAGCTCTCCTAGCTACTGCATCACGTCTGCCATGATGGTGGTGTGCGGTTCACAGTAGCCACCTCGCCTTTCTCTTTCGCGCAGCCAAATCGTGGTATTAATAGCTATTAATATCACAGTGGTCAATTTGCCTGCCCTCGGTTTTATGTCTCGAACTTCTCCCGCACTACATTTCTCTACGCACTGGCATTTTCCACCAATCATAAGCATACACTTTCGCCTAAGTTTCAGTCTCCTCACGTCTACACTTCCCTCCACCAGCTTAACGTAAATGACCAATTTATGATCACCAATTTATGATCACTCCCATTGAGCCAATCACGTCGGGGTATTTTTTGAAACCAAAGCCTCCAATAGATTATACTGAATGAACTCGATACATTACACACGCTAACCATGCCGAATCATCCGGACATTCGACTTGAAAATGGGTAAGTTCCTTGCCCTGCCCCGCAGATAACCTAAAATTGCTAAATGCTTACTAGTATCATGGATAGTATGGGTGCTTGTCAGGGAAATCACAGGTGTCGAAGACGACACAGACCTACCGTATTCCCCGTCTAACTGTACCCAAGCATTATCGTTACCCCATACTTTCACGCGCGCAGATGCCATGGCTATGCGCATCACAGGCAGTCCTGAAATGAAACGATTGGAACAGGTTATCCGGACCATGTGTTGGAACTGTCCCATCAAATATTCTTGAAATACATAACCTTGTAAACTTATATATTACCTGACCATAATGCATGCCCTATCCGCATAATTTGTATGCATCAAGGTATACACAGTTCAAGGTTAAAATAGTGATCATAAATTGGTCCTCAAAAATAGAGTAAACTTGCTTGGAAAGTCGGCTTTTTCTATTAAAAGTACATCTTCAAATGTAATAATTTGATTATGAAGTGAAAGCTCTGTGTTCGGTTGTTAAGAATCACTTCACAAAATGTGAAAAGTCGTCCTGTGAGAGCCGAGATATGCGAATTCTACGGTGACTACTCCGAAAAAGTGATCATAAATTGGTCATTTACGTCTCTTTCTGGCAAGGTCCACTAGGATTACCTCGGTGTTCTACCTGAGTCTTTTCATCGATACTCTTTCTGCCTTATTCTTTCTTTCCTTTTCTACCCCTTTTGCCCATTTTCCCTATTCTCTTCATCTCTCCACTACGACTACTTTCCCTCTACCACTTCTCGTCATTTGACACCTCAAACGTGGCGTTGCATAACAATTGTTCGGATATTGTCCAAGAGGTTCAGTGGTGTACCGTCGGTGTGCTATTGAAAAGTCACCCAACCACAGGTTTTTTGGGCAAAATATGCTGTCCATTTCATCGCATTTTACATGTTAGGCAACTCATCGCCGCCGCGCCAAACTACTGGCTAAAATTATTGCCTCACGAGCCAATTATTGATCCTACGCTCTCTGAGGTTGAATATTGAGTGCCAACATGAACACAGATAACCACAGTGCGGGAGCGAAGTCACCAGCTCATACGTGTAGGCGACTGGCGATGCTGAAGAAGTAGTGACTAGAGATCTGACAGTGACATGCTAGGTTTCGTGGCATTTCAATGTGGTCGGACATATCTTTGGGGTATGATAGCGAGCTTAGTATACGTATCTCATCGCATCGAGACCCTCGTGAGAATTCATTCTCTTGGGCCACTACAGTACCATGTTTGGGGATTTGTAAATGTGGGTTGAACCTGTGCAAATACATGTTTGTAGCGCTTTGTTCATTTGTGAAGCGACCAAAGCTTACAAATACCAAGTGAACAAATCATTGACACAATGCGCTTTCCTTGAATACTTTGACGTAATTGATGCTACAGTAGTACAGTATTCGACCCTTGAAGTTCTGTCGAGGTGGCACTTTCTACAGTACAATATGTACTCAGATCTCGTTGATTCATGTGAAATGGGTGGGCTGTAAGCTAGTACAATACAACTTGTACGTACCGTTGTACTGGTTGACCTTATATAAGTATTTATTGTACCATATAACTTACGTTTGTACATTCATTGTTGCCATGAATATGTAGGTAGCACTTGTGTGCAACAAATTGTTGGGAAAATACTGGTAACGTTACCCATACTTTCCCCACTCACATTCTAAAGTCGCATTCTATGAAATTTCAACCTTGAATATAGTACAGTAGTCCACTTAGTACTCGGAGTACTTCATTGGATTATCCTACCATTCGTAGAAATTCGTGGGAACAAACCCCAAGAGTCAATCCTGGATCAGTATGTATGTGGACTAACTTTTCTGCTTACAGCTAGTAACGTTAGCAGATACTACGTACTACTAAGTGCAAAGTGTTGGTCTGGCGGATGAGACACTTGTGTTGACATGACTACCCACTCGTTCCATATTCTCGTACTTCGAAGTATTTACTTTCCACCATGAAAGTCGCTGCTGTGTTGTCGTTGGCGCCGAATATGCCAAGGTGACTGTGGACGTTTCGCACACGCTGGAAATCACTGACTTGTATGACGTGCTAATCTCTTTCGTGGGTCCAACCTTTGATGGTCTCACGTAAGCTGCGGACCGACGCCAGGCTATGTTTGACCGCTTGACCACACGTTTGGCCAATACCCAAACGGAGTCTGCGTCTGTGCTGCACTCGGCCAACTGCCCGAACTTTTGGATTACCACGGCCGCCATATGCTGAGGTTTGACGAAGGCTCAAATCGAGCAACTGTCCCGTCTTCCCTACGTCAAGAGCGTCACCACGCCGGACGACGTCCTGCTCATTGCGCCTATCTTGAAGGGAGGAACTTCGGGATTGCTGACCCCCCAGTGGGACACCGTCGCATTCACATCCCCTTGAACGCGACGGTGCCCCACTGAAGGGTCAACACGATCGGCGCCCCGGCCATTTGGAGGCACTTCAAGGGCAATGGCGTGGTGGTGGGCTCCGTCGATACGGGGGAAAAGTACCGCCACGAAGCGCTCAAGCACAACTGGCGCTTCAACAAGGGCTGGTTCAACCCGTACAACGGCATGGTCATTGAAACGCCCGTCGACTCGGCCCAGCAGGGCCCCACACTCTCAGGACCATGGTGGGCGGCAACGGTATTGGGGTCGCCCCCGAAGCCCAGTGGATTACGTGCTTGGGACTGTACGGCAACTCGGGGTCGTCGGAGGTGCTGGTGGCGTTCGGGCGGTTCATGCTGTGCCCCACCCGCCTCGACGGCACACCCCCCGAATGCAAGCTTGGCGCCGACGTGATCAACAACTCGTGGGGATCTACCGCGGGTACAACTCAGCGTACGAGGACATGGTCACGTCGTGGCGCGCGGCAGGTATCACCCCCGTCTTCTCCAACGGCGACTCTGGCCCTGCGTGTGCCAACACAGGCAGGCCCAGCATGTACTCCCGGGTGTGGGGGCCATCGGAACCTGGGACAACGATCCGACGCAGTTGGCGTACTTCAGCTTCAAGGGCTCTGTCAAGTACGTCGACGACAACAACAAGACGGTGTCGTTGGCCAAGCCCGACATCTCCGCCCCGGCTTCTATATAAGTCTGCCGATGCGCTCAACTTGAGCTGGTACCTCGAGATGGCTGGCACATCCATGGCGGCGCCGCACATTGCCGGCGTCGTCGCCTTGCTCAAGAGCGCGGGAGTCCGATTTGAGCCACGATGAAATCTACGCGTACATTACCAAGACCGCCGATCGCGACGAGGTCCTCAAACCTGAACCTAAAAACTGGCCGTGCCCCGGGGCCTCCAACTACAACGTCACGTCGGATGAACGTGGCCCAACAACGGTCACTACCCCCACCTCGTTAGCCCCTACAACGACCAAGCCTATCCTGCTCCTATGACTACGAGCACCGCCCTACCAACATCACCCCAAGGGTTACTCGCACTAGCAATGATACATTTCAGCTGAGAGGATATCCGAAGGGGTCACTTCGGATAATGAGAGGATATCCGAAGAGGTCACTTCGGATAATAAGTCTCTATTAGAGACTTTTAGCAAGTAATGAGAGGATATCCGAAGAGGTCACTTCGGATATCCTCTCAGCTGAAATGTACCGTAGAAACCTGATATGACTGGTACCGGTACATTATGGAAACTATGGGAAAACGTTCAAGAAATCTGGATACCGTTCAGCCAAAACTGAAAACCGTTCAAGCAAATGTTCTTCCCGTAATAACCCCGTAACCCCGGGACTTCGTTCTACCTCCGCGTGCACATACTTCGAAGTATAATGCTAAATCCCCACGGTTAAGCGCATCACCAGTGGTTAGCTCTCGCCAACCACTCAGATATGCTTAACCCCTAGTAGGAGTTGAGGTGGTCAGAGTACAAAAAATATGCCTCCTCTAACTAGAGTTTATTAGTTTGAACGGTTTTCAGTCTTGGTTGAACGGTATCTAGATTTATTGAGCGTTTTTCACGGTTTGTCACTATAATATGGTACTATTAATAGTACCGGTTGTAGAATACTCGTACGGTACAATGTCAAGTTCAATTCTGTCGTGAATACCGTAGCTTCGAACGTGAAGGCAGCTTTTTACGCTCTTTGGCGCTTAGACTTTTAGTCAAGTTCAACTTTGTTTTGAATTTCTTCGAGCGTGAAGCGGCTTCTTAGGCTCTTAGTTAGGCTTCAGACTGATGAAATAACTCCCAGTGTTGCACATGTACGTACTCTTTGCCAATGATGTGATAGTATGTACCGGTACCTCTGATGCATACCTCAATATGTATCGTTAACTATGAGAGAAACCAGAGATCATTTTGCATAAGGATTATCTTTGGAGCTGTCAGGGACAAGTTCCTCCTTGATGAGATGAGATGGGGTGTACTAGTATAAGATATTAGTGTTCAAATACCGCGACACTTTCAGTTGGGTGGCGGCAGGTGCGGAACCTGAGGCAGTGTCGATACAGCTGTTATCGCGGCCAGATCAGGCCGCCGACATCGAAGTACGTACGTTGTCCGACGTACTGTACTTCTTGGATATATGAAATGGTATGGCAATGTACTTGTCGTCCATTGATAGTACATGTACGAAATTTCCCTGCCGACGTTTGCAACCAGTGGGAATTGTACCATGGCTCGTTCGTTTGCTCCCACTATCTCAACTTGACAAATCCAGGTAATCAACCAACGTTTTCCTCAATGGATCCAGTACTGGGCACGTTCCTAGTGTATTCACTTGAATGCAAGGTCGACGTTGTGATTTATCGCGTGGTCCGTGTGCAGGGCCGAGTGATAGGCAACCCCAAGCAGCAGCATCAATCCATTGTGCAATTTACCAGTGTAATGAAACTCGTATCTGTGTTGTCACTGGCCGCGGCTGCTGCGCAAGCCAAGGTGTCCGTGGAAGTGCACCGCGCGTTGGAAACCAAGGGCTTGTCAGACGTGACGGTGTTGTTTCACAGCATCAACTTGGACGCTCTCCCTAGATCCACGACGGACCGCCGTACCCAAGTGTTCGAGGCGTTATCTGAGCGCTCCACGGTAGCGTTGGCCGAGACCGCATCGATCTTGGACAGCTCCGACTGCCAAAACTTTTGGATTGCCCCTGTAGCAGTATGCAACGGTTTGACGTCTGCGCAAATCGAGTTGCTGTCGAAGCTCCCCGGTGTCAAGAGCATCCACGGACCCATCGAAATCTCGTTGACTCAACCGCTGGAAAAGGAGGCCGCGCCCAAGGTGGGCCTTCCCCCCAATGCCCCCCCTCAGTGGGGTGTCGAGACCATCGGTGCTCCTTCGATCTGGAAGTACTTCAAGGGCAAGGGTGTTGTGATTGGTTCTATCGACACGGGCGCAGAGTACCGCCACGAATCCATCAAGCACAACTGGCGTTCGTACAAGGGCTGGTTCAACCCGTACAACGGCACCGCCATCGAGCTCCCCATCGACTCGCAAACCCACGGCACCCACACGATCGGGACCATGGTGGGCTCCCACGGTATTGGAGTCGCCCCTGACGCCCAGTGGATTGCGTGCTTGGGCCTGTACGGCGCATCCGGCACGTCCGCCGCCCTTTTGTCTTGCGCGCAGTTCATGCTGTGCCCGTCCCGGCTCGACGGTACGCGCCCCGAGTGCAAACTTGGTGCTGACGTGATCAACAACTCGTGGGGGTCCACTGGGGCTTACAACCCGTGGTACGAAGACGTCGTGGCTGCCTGGCGCGCGGCGGGTATCACCCCCGTGTTTGCCAACGGCAACGCCGGCCCCAAATGCGCCTCGACCGGTACCCCTGGCGCGTATAACCGTGTGATTTCCGTGGGAGCGATTGGTTCCCCCACCGACGACCCCAATCAATTGGCAGTGTTCAGCTCCAAGGGCCCGGCTAACATTCGCGACGCGAACAACAACACTGTTACGATTATCAAACCCGACGTGGCAGCCCCTGGGTTCTTTACGCTCTCGTCTAACGCCCTCAACTTAACCGACTACTCGTTCAAGGCGGGTACGTCCATGGCGGCTCCTCACGTCGCGGGTGTCGTCGCCCTTCTCCGCAGCGCCCAGCCCGACTTGACGTACGATGAAATCTACGCGTATATCACCAAAACCACCGACCGCGACGTATTGAAACCTGAACCCGAGCTTTGGTATTTTGCCAATGGAACTGTCCGTGCCCCTGGTTCCCCCAACTGCGGCAACGTCTCCGACGCGTCTTGGCCCAACAACCGTTACGGGTACGGTCGTATCAACGTCGGCACGATCTTGCGCGATGGCAAACTGAACGACACCCCCACCAAGAAGCCTACCACTGTCGCACCTACTACTGCTGCACCTACCACTATCACACCTACCACTGCCGCACCTACCACTGTTACGCCTACCACTCTGGCGGTGACTACGTTAACCCCTACGACTACTGCCGTTGCTACGACCCCTTGCCCTACTAATGTCACCCCAAAGCCCACCAGCACCCCCGCTACAACCCCTTGCCCTACTAACGTCACCCCCAAGCCTACTGGTACTACTCCTTGCCCTACTAACGTCACCCCCAAGCCCACTGGCACCACCCCTTGCCCTACCAACATCACCCCCAAGCCCACTGGCACCACCCCTTGCCCTACCAACATCACCCCCAAGCCCACTGGCACCACCCCTTGCCCGACCAACATCACCCCCAAGCCCACTGGCACCACCCCTTG